CACCGGGCAAAGCATCGCATCTCCAGCATTCTAGTAAGAGGCATCTTCAAGCATAACTCAGATAATGATGGCATTCAGCAAAAACTGGCTCCAATCTGAAGAACATTCAATAACAGTAGCTACCATTAGTGGCTAATAGAGAAAGCGAATATTGAGCAGTAACAGACCTAGAAGCAAAGAAAATTAATTCAGCCCTAGTGTGTTGTTTAATAGTGCATCATTTGAGTGAAGGGATTGACTCGAAATTGCGCAGTACAATGGCGCTAAGATCGGAACTGTCTGCAACCATCTGATAAATGTATAATGCTTTGAATTTGAATACAACCAATAACACTGAATCTACACAGCACCTTATAAGTGCACTCTTTTGTACAAGGAACAAACTGGCAGTACTGTAAAAGACGACATAAATAGCATCGCAACGAAACTGACAAAACGGCGCGACGTCTATATGCAGTAGACTGAACAAGCTGTGAACAGAAGCACGAAGATAAACCAACGATTCAGAGCCAGCAAAAAAAGAATACGGAAAGTAGTCGGCGGCTGTGAACATTCAATTCAGAAGATGTTTAGCTTAATATATGACAGACTGAAAATGTATCTTTAAAGCCCTTGTATTTCAATTTCGATTTCGATCACCGCTTATCATCTCGGGTCGCGAAAGCAAACCCGCCAGTCACTGTCTCCACCGTTCCCAAACTTGTACACGTTTATGAACTTTGGCAGAATAGAAGTGTTCAGCCTGTAGCACAGTGTGCCGAAACACTTAATCTAAGACACTCATGTAAGATCCCAAAGTTAACGACCGGTCGGTTGGCCAAGTAGTAACTGTTTCGCCTTCGTTTCTAAAAGCATTCATAAGACTTGCGCGAACTACCTCAAATGTGACATCTCAAAACAGAGAAACAGCGGCTGTACACCAAGGTTCTCTCTAATACCTTAATTCTGCACCATGACAAGACGCGCCACCAGCTCAGTGATTCATCCAGAAAGATCAGTTCAGGCTCTTGTACCCAAGATCGAAGTTTCTCATTCTTTGACAACGCGTCATGACGGTAGGTGAGCATCAGGAAAAAACTGACTTGAACTCAACAAAAAGAGCTCAGTTTTCAGACTCAGTTATCTGCTTTAGTCACAATGGTTTGGGTTAGTTCACGCAGAACGCCACTGACTGTGTCAGTCCACCGGTCGATCTTGACCTCTGTTTTTCATCACCAGTAAAAACGATTCCGAGGTACTTGAACTTCTCCAGCTCCTCCACTGCCTCTCCATTAATCTGAAGAGAGTAAAGCAGGAGAACGAGAAAGCACTAGGCTTTTCTTTTTATATGCATTTACGCGCATGCCGGTCACGTCACACTCGGCTGCGAATCTATCCAGGCAGCACTGCAGATAAGTTTCAGAAGAAGCCAACAGTACAAAGTCGTCTGCAAACAGGTCGCCTGCAAACGATACATTCATGGCCTTCGTAGCGCCGGACTATGTGTACAACACAAACAGGAAACGGGACAGAACGCAACTTTGGCGGAGACGAGTGCCAACGCTGAAGAGTCACGACTGACCGTCATTTAATCTGGTGCAGCACTTGCAATTAATATATGGTCAATCAGTGGATGGCTCGCACGATTGACCTTCGATTCTATTTATTTTTAGAACTGTCATAGCTAGTTTGTGGGATCCGGTCATATTCATTCTTCAAGCCAACAGGCACATATAAACCGAATGAACAAACTCGCACGGTTTTTCAACAATCTGGTCAGAAGTGTTTTAACCTGACCTGAAGCCAAACTGTTATACTTATATCTTAGAGTTCTGATTCCACAGCATCTCTGTTCCAGCATCGTTGCCTATCCCAGGAGATCAATAAAGCAATTCTGCAATAATTTTAGCACTACTTATGGTCTTCCTTCTTGAACTGGGATTCTACAAGTCCTGTGCCCCTGTCCACTAATTGCTTCATCGTGTAATTCCAGTTTGGAAAGGATGTGTTATGCTTAGTTCGAATAAGGTTTTAAGAAGACATGTTGCTTTTCGAGCTTTCTTCAGCTTTTATGACTTCATTTACTGAAACACTAACATCAGTTGCCTGCTGCTCTTCAGGCAAGTCGTCCTGCAGTTACTCGGGCCAAATAAGTTTCGCGAAGTATTCAATCTATCGACGAAGTGTGCTTTCATCCTATGTAAAAGGAGATCCAAACTAGTCGCTCACAACTCTTAGAATGCCTTTCTTTCCACATCGAAGGCGGCGAATGATGCACCTCACGGAACTTATGCACAATTCCCAGGAATCAGCTTTCATTACTGCTGTAGCTGCCGTTTTGCGCACTTATTCGTACTGCATTCGAGTTGAAGGCACTTCCAAACCACCTCTAAAATGCAGCTTTCTTTTCGTTGAAAGACATTAGAACCTCCCATGTTCACCAGGAAGTTCATTTCTGACGTCCAGCTGACAGGTCAATCCATGTTAATCAGCATTCCGCGGCAGCCCAAGTAAGTCGCTCTTACGGTGCTTGCACTCAGTTTCCACGTCAGCGGCTACAGCTGGGATCTGTTCAATCCGCTGGACGATGTTATTTGCAAGCTTTGCCACCGTATCCGCACAAAGAAATGGTTTCCATTGGATTTTCTGGCTGCTTCTGCGCCAGCGTTGCACATGAAATTCCATCGTCTGCAACGGTTGGTACCAGAACAGCTCGACGATCGGTTAACAGATCCACATTTCTCTTAGCACGAACTCCATTACTGAGCGTCAGACGACAACATTATTAATTCGAGTATCGACTTTTCTCCACAAGCTTCTCTGCACCAGGCATACTGGTACATTTTTAGATGCTCGGAAAAGACGCTTATAAATAGTCGTTTGCATAAAAACCGCAATAACCACGCAAAGTTATTGCTGACGTCGCTATAGTCGTTCATTCCAATGACATCTTTCCGCTTTTAGTGTGTCTTCCTACATATGCCTTGAAATGACCGATCAAAATAATGGCTGCCGTAATCGGCAGTTCGTACAGTGCACATTCCACTTCGTATAGGAAAGGCTATTTCCGTTTTGGACCCATGGACCTCAAAAATTTAGTCTGTTATAAGTTCAGTCAGATAATTTTCAGCCTTTCGTTGACAGTCTTCGATTCATGCATTGTATCAGCCAAGCTGCTTTCTATCAGAACATCGATACCTACCTGTTCTTATTTGTCGTGGAATAAATATCTGAGTAGAATATCTTCAATCCCTAGAAGTTCAAAATTCCAGAGCGCTAAAAATTCGTTGGCGAGAGCCAAATTATGTCCGTACGGTACCTTGCAACCACATCGCTAGCTTCTGATCTTTAGCTCTAAGCAAAGCTATGTTCCAATTTTCGACTGTGAGCTCCCACTGTCGGTGTTGCTTCCGTAAAATCTTATCTGATGACAAGAAATATCACTGTTTTCTCCGCTTCCTCTTATCAGAACGGGTTGAGTCTTCGTTGCTGATTGGTAGTCGTCATTGCGTACGTTTTTCAGCTCTCGTGTACTACTGTGCCGGACAGCAGGAGGTTCTCATCGCCGGTTTTCGTGGTCTGCTTCAGTTGCCCAACAGTTTGCGCGACCTTTGGTCACCCGGGCGACAACCGAGCCGTTTGATTGTTCGATAATG